TGCATGTCTAAAAATGTATTAACTGAACTAAATTTTTGTTCAAACCACAGACCTGTGCTTCAAACTATAAATTTTATAAAGCATGCTCATAAAAGTCGTTCTCCCATATTTTGCCCGACCGTGATCTTGCGTAAAAGATTGTATTAACATTTAAGCATAAATTCCAGATAGTTAATACTGTGAATTAAAAAAAAGTTAAATCCGTTGACTAGCGTATCTAATGTTTCATAAACATTACTCTGGCGATTAAGATGCTCTGTAAGATTACTGAAATGCCTGTCTTGAATGGTTTGTTTATTTTTCCGTTCTTACCCATAGGAAACGGTACGGGTACCGTATACCGCTGAACAATACTGTGCGAAAAGCGAAGAAAAAAAATCATGTTCGTGTTAATCACCATTGTAGTCGTCTTGATAAGTTTTTAATCCGCCGTGTGGATGGAGAACGGTTATTTTATAAAAGGACAATTAACACTAACCATTCGACACCCATGGCTTTCAAGCAATTTTCTTTTGATTGAAAAATTAGTTTTCTTGCGATCCATTAAAACTATGACAATTTTTTTATCTTGAAAATTAAGCTCCAGGTCAAAGTGCTTCGTGCACTACTACGACTCCGTATCCATGTCTTCGAAATAACACAGTTGTAATGTCCTTATACAGCCGATAAAATCGATTACATGTTTTGGGGTACTCGGTTAACTTTTAAATTATAATAAGTTTCACTTTTCTTTTATGTGCAAATTTGATTAATATTTTATAGTAACATCACGTAATTCACCCATTAGAATTCATTGCACACATTTTACAAGTCCTAAATTGATACTTTCAATTAAAAATGGGAACAAAATGTCCATATTTTATGAATTGTATATCATATTACAGGAGAAGCTTACAGTTATTTTATTAGTCGATGCCATTATTAATCATAATTTGAATTAATATTAATAATAATGACATATTAATTACCTCGCCATTAACGTATAGGTACGTGTGTCTAACGTAATCAAGTTTATTCATAATAAATTAATATTAATGTTCGAGTGTACTAATTAAATCATTAAAGCTTTATTTTAATTATCAAGATTATAAGTTATAGGTATCATGAAGCCAAGTTGTCTGAAATTATTATATGTAAATATGCACGAAAAGAACCGTTTGGAACATACTAAAAAATCCAGTAAATTACGGACAGCTTTTACTGAAAAAAATATAAAAACGTTGTAATTTTTTCTTTTACGCATGTGGTAATTTCAGACTGCCAACGTACTTACTTAAAATTACTAGAAATATACCAGAAAATTATGACAAATAAAAACAGCAACAAAAATAAAGAGTAGGTATGAATAATTAGATTTATATTGCACGTGCAAAAAGAAAGAGTTAAATAGAAATAATTAATACTATTTTAAACTTACCAATTAATATGCATAATTAAATAATTAATTAATTTAACAGGATTAAACTATAACCAACAAAGTGCACAAGATAAGATAAAAAATACCGCGCAAATTAAGAATGAATAATATAAACGCTATTTTAGTTACGAGTCTAATTAAGCACGAGAGAAGCTTGCGAGCGAGTGTTTAATAAAAACGAGTGTCTAGAAAAGTTTATAAACGAGTTGCTCATTTTTTCCCAATTTAAAATAAATAAACTTCAGCCCGTGACTAAAACGCTATAACGTCATGGCTTAGTCAATGTCGAGCATAAATGCATTGCCGACTACATAAAAAGTACACTTCGATTCTTGGTTAAATAAACTAAAAAACTAAAAAATTAGTCCACTTTGTAAAAGTATTTAGAACATCTCTTTCCAACCTGTTTTGCGACAACTTCTAACCATAAAATGCAAGTCTTATTAATTTCTGTGGATTTTAACTGTTTTCACAAAAAGTCAATTAATTAGTGTGTAAAAGCCGCTAATTAAGACATATGTCTAATTTACATGCTAGCTAAATAAAGTTAAGATTTAATCGGTAAAATCCGCCGTTTGCCGTTACTAAATTATTTAAAAATAATTAAAATAATTTTTTTTGGCGATTTTATGTTTCATTTTAGAAAGAAATAACGCTATAACTGTAACCGTTAAACTTGATGATATACCCACCTAATTATTTAAATAAAAAATGTATTTGTAAAGGCTGTCAATCGCATCTTTGTATGCACGTCAACGTCGAGCCAGTGTTGCCAATTACACGTAAAACGATGTAATTAATGTCGAAGTCTTTATACATGCACAAAATATCGGAAAAGTACAGTTACAGTCGTTTAAAGGTATTTTTATTGTTGATTAAATAAGGTAAATATTAGTCGTCGCCTTGTTTATTATATTTGCATAACCAATTTATTATTTATTGTTACTTAAAAATGGTATATTATGTATCAAGCTTGATAAACGCTATTTTAGTCACGAATTGCATACTATACTTTTTCTACGACAAATACTTTTATTATCTAAAAATGATTTAAATTAAATATTTGTATAGAGCGACATCTATACGAAAATATAGTAACCGTGAGAATAGGGATCTGTATTACCAGCGAAAAAGTCAAATTTTTCAGTGTAAATAGAAATGTATCCCTTAATAATGGACCAACAACCGTTTTAATCCAATATAGAAGCAGATTTTTACAGTGGAAGTAAAGTAAAGCTAACTTCAGCCCGTGACTAAAAACCTATTGCTAACTTCAGCCCATCACTAAAGGCCATAAAGCCATAGCTTGTCAATGTGTATTTTAATGAGGCAAAAATTGTTTTTGTTTTGCAAATTTTATGGATTAGGGAAATATGGATAAATCGGTAATCATGTCATAATAATGTTATTATACTAAAAAAGAATTGAATTGTGTAAATTTTGCTTTAAACGTGTATTGAAGGAAAAAGTTAAGTACCTCGGCAATTTTATCTGATTAACTATAGGAATTCCATTTGTTATACTTTAATAGTATATTTTATTAAGAGTCCGGTAAATAGCATTTTCCTGTGCGTCAATACCACGTACAATTTTTTTTATTTGAATACATTTTTATGGATGAATGTGGACAAAATATTTAAATAAAGTAAGTAGGTACATTATGTATTTTTTAAAACAAACCTATAAATGTTAACGAACTTTGTAAAATGAATTTTCATTTGTAAATAGTTCATGCTCCTTAGGCATAACCTATAATTTTTTTTGATTACAAAGTAATGTTTAAACAACTACCTATAATTATCTATGGACCACAAAATCCCGCTTTTTTGTAACGTTAAAACAATATTAGCTTCGTAATGCTTGTAATGTTTTTCGAGCAAATGATGAGGTAAACTGATGATGATTTTTATAAAAAGTAAGTTTCATCGGTGTTAGTGAACTTGTAAAACCCTGTTTTTTGTTGTTTTAGAATGGTAACGCTTTTCGCTTTTGACACTTGCAGTGACATTTCTATCTGAAGTGTTATTTAAAATCTTCAAATGAGTTGTGAAAACGAATTATTATGTTCTGTGAAACGAATAAAAAATATTAATAAGTAAGGTATGTGGAGCAAAAATAAGGCCACAGAAAACATGCAGTAAAAATAATAATAAATTTGTTTTTTTTTTAATAATTTACTTTAAAAACGAAATTATGGTAGTCACCAAATAAATCAAACCAAATATCCTTAGATAATCATGTGTTCGTAATCCATTGTTGCCGGATCTTTTAGACAAAAATGACAGATTGATAATTTTTTATTATTGCAAAACTGTGCAGTGAAATTTAATATATTTTTCTACTCCCACCTTTAAAACGCCCTTTATCGAAAATGTTTCCAAGACACTAAGTGACCTTTTAAATACACATTGACAAGTTGTGGCTTTATGGCGCTTTAGTCACGGGCTGAAGTTAGCAACAGGTTTTTAGTCACGGGCTGAAGTTATTTTTAAGTTAGTTGACAGTTGTCAAATGTCATACAATCGTTAAAATAAAGTGCCTTGTAAATTAATACTAAATGTGAAAATTATTTTATTAGGTATCTTAATACAAAAATACAAAAGTATTAAATAGTTTCTCAACGGCAATATTTGAAAAGTTTATATGAACATTGTACTGATCTTTTAATTTCGCCGGCAGTAAACTATAACTTAAATTCGGGCACGGACTCCACTGTAAAGTGCTCATAAAACATTTTCTTTACTTTCATTTTAAAAATCTGTCCATTTTCAAGAAATACATTTCGATTTATAACCTTTATAATCTGTGTTTATAAAATACAAAAATTTGACATTTGACGGTGACACACAGATTCCCCTATTGTTTCATAGATGGCGCTCTATAAAAATATTTGATTTAAGTCATTTTAAGATAATAATAAGTATTTGTCGTAGAAAAAGTATAGTATGCACCTCGTTTATAAACTTTTCTATGCACTCATTAAATTAAATTCGTGTATAAAATGGTGTTTATCAACCTTGATACATAATATACTATTAAAAATCTACGTATTTAAAAGTAAAAAATCCATTTAAATCCATTAGTTTTTTAATATAAATTATAATAAAAAAAATATTTTTAAAAACTTCAAAGGTAAAATTGAAAAATAATAAGATAGCATTTCAGAATTTTATTAACAAGTTGATAATAAAAGTTTCCAAATTATTGGTAAAATATAGTAATTTTTAATAGAATTATTTTTTTGGGTATTTTTACAAAAATATAATTTTAAAAAATATCTAAATTGAAAAACAAATCATGTAAAACGTAATTTTTTTTAAATAAAAAGTAATATTTTCATAAAATATTTTTTTGTATAGCAATCGTTAATCTGGTATTCGAAATTGTATAAAAATATACCTATTAAAAAAATTATTTGTTTTTCAAAATAAAATTAAAACTGAATTTAGGTAAATTTGCATACCTATTTAAATAAATTTACCATTTGGTAATAATATAATAATAATAGCTACTTTTTTTACAACATCTTCATCATATCAAAAAAAAAATCTTGTTAAATTAATAAAAGTTTGTCTTCACTTACGATTTTGTTTTCTCACTACAGACACCACGTAAACAATGTTCTGTTCGGCTGCTGCTATTAGTGATAATTACTGATGGAAAAAACTTAACACGTATGACGGCCAAGCGGCGACGAAGAGTCTTGGTGAAGACCGCCAGGTCCATGCATTTATATTCTTCCACCTCTCCAAACAGGACGGTACTTCCAAAAGTAATCGAAAAATGTATATATTTTAGATATTTTAGATCGAGACTTTTAAAGTTTAAATAGTAAAGATGTAAAATGTATATATGGAAAAAAATAAAACGTAGGTATCAAAATATTACGCGGAAAATGTATTATAAAAACCTGGTAGTATATGATGGAGGCAATCCGTCATAGCATATACCACAAAAATACTATATATAAAGAAGTGCTAAATAAACGTATGATTATATTTTTTTTATTTTACGTTCTTTGCTAATTTAGATTTTAATAAAAAATGCCATTCATTATCTTATTAGAGGCACTACTGAAGACAAAGTACGGTCCTGTTGAAGTAGTTCGCGAATGTGGTAGCACCTACCGATAGCCGAAGAACTCGAAGAGTACCTATAGCCAGTAGAGTGCGTAACCTTCATACCTTCTTCTTTCCGAGCGTTCATTGTCAAGATCACATGCGTTTAAGTCCAAGGCTGCATCATCTCACCTAATCTAACTCTTTAAACAAATATATCTTCATACATTTTTTTTTTCAAAAATTAAATAAAAATATTTTTTTTTTCAATAAATTTTATGGATTTTGCAGAATAAAATAAAGTGTTTTTCAGCAAAAAATAAACATATACAGGGTAACAATGAAGTCGCCAGGAATTCCAGAAATTGTTAACAAAAATTCACCTTCGTTATTTAAAAAGATACAGGGGATCCACATGTTTTTAAACGGCAACATTGTCTACTAATAAATTGGTTATTATGACAATAAAAAACATAGATAGATAGATAGATAGATAGATAGATATTTATTTATTCAAAAGACCAAATACATGGTAAGGATAGAATACGTCAAAAGCAATCATACATTACAATACATTTAACACAGATATTGTATAAATATTGGACAAGTGTATATCACCATTTACATTTTTGTATAAATAAAATTTACAAGAAATAGAAGTTTCACATCATAGTACAGTTATCACAGTCTAGTTTATCACAGGAAAGTTTGACTCAAAGTATTCGTTTAGTGAGTAGAATGAACCAGTCTTTAGTAGTTTCTTCAATATGTTCTCAAATTTTTTTGTTGGGAGGTCTCGAATATATTTGGGAATTTTGTTGTAAATCTTAATCAGCATGTTGACAACATTTTTCTGAACCCAGGTGAGTTTCGTATGTGTACTTCTTAAGTTGGATTTATGTCTTGTATCGTATATGTGGGTTCCTTCAAGATGTTCAAATTCTTGGTAGTGGTTTTTTACATACATAGCCGATTCTAAAATATATATAGATGGTACAGTGAGTATGCCTGTTTGTTTAAACGTGATTTTGCACGATTCTCTATATTTTAGATTGAAGATAATTCTTATGCATTTTTTCTGAAGAATAAAAACTCTCTCCACGTCTTTTGAGTTCCCCCAGAATACTATTCCATATCTTATTCGCGAATAGACATAGGCATAGTATGAAGTGAGACAGGTTTTTTGGTCAACTGTGTTTGATAAAATTCTTAAAGCAAAGGAGTATAGACTTATCTTCGTGCATACAGCATCTATATGTTCTCCCCAGCGTAGGTGACTATCTATAATAATTCCCAGAAATTTTGTGGAGTGGGATGTAGTAAGTTCATTTCCTCCAATGTTTATCGTTTTTTTTGAAACATTGTTGTATGAGAATTTTATCAGTTGGGTTTTATCTACATTTAAAATCATATTGTTTTGTTCAAACCAACTTTCCAGTTTTTTTAAAACCAAAACTATTTCTTTAAATAAGGAATTTTCATCATTTTTTCTTATTACCATGGAGGTATCGTCTGCGAACAATACTGTCTCATGTTCCAGTATGTCAGGTAGTTCATTTGTATAAATTATAAAAAGGAGGGGACCCAGGATACTACCCTGAGGGACCCCATACCTTACTGTTTTGTAGTCTGAGTAGATATATTTTCCGTTTTCATCTTTAGTTTTAATACACTGAGTTCTGTTTGACAAATAGGAATGAAATAGTTTGTGAGGAGTGCCCCTCACGCCATAGCCCTCAAGTTTTTCCAGCAGTCTGCCCACGTCAACGCAGTCAAACGCCTTTGATAGATCCACATAGACCCCAGCTACTTCATCCCCTTCACTTACACCCTCGAGTATCTCCTGTAGAACCTGAAATATAGCTCTATTTGTAGATCTACCTTTCATAAACCCGTTTTGATTTTTTGTAAGGATGTTATTATATATGAAAAATGAGTATAGTCTCGTATATAGGATTCTTTCAAAAATTTTTGAGATATTTGAAAGTAATGCAATGGGTCTGTAGTTTTCTGGTTTATTTTTTTCACCTTTTTTGTAAATAGGAATTATCTGCGCAACCTTCAGATTCTCAGGAAACACCCCAGACTGTAAGCTTTTATTTATAATATAAGTAATTGGTTCTGAAATTGAAAGGGCACAAAATTTTAGTAGCACAGTGGGTATATCATCATGTCCAACAGACTGTGTATCTTTTAAAGATCCTATTACCCTAATAATTTCATTTTTGTCTGTTGGTTGTAGATATATAGATTTGTTATGCTTCTTAAATATCTCGGGTACTGAATTTGTAATTTTATTTGTCCTATCTCCAACATTTATGTAATAGCTATTTAACTTGTTAAGAATTTGCGTAGAGGTTTGATTATTTGTATCCAGGTCCCTATAATTAAAATTTGAATTTTTGCTTTTTTTATGTAAAGTTTCATTTACTACTTTCCAGGTGGATTTAGTTTTATTTTGTGAAATTTGAATAAAGTTTGAAAAAGCTGTTTGTTTGGCTATTTTTACTTCGTTTTTTATTTCTTTACACAGTAATTTATATTGTTTGCCCTTTTCTTGGTGGAGGGATCTTTTTAAAGCACACTTTTCTTTTATTTGTGGGGTAATCCAGTTTATCAAGCTGTTTCTTTCCTTTGTAATTATGTTTTTAAGAGGACAATATACATCAAGCAAACTTTTTAGACAGCCCACAAAACCATCATACATAAGATTTACTTTTTCAGTTGTAAAAAATGATTCCCAATCAATTCTCTCTAGATGATTGTTCATCATTTCCAGATTTGTATTGTTTAGGATTCTTTTATTAGTTTTAGTATTATCATTTGGTTTTTTATTCGAAATTAAATTAACTAAAAGTTTTTGTGCATGATGATCTGATAAATTAATTTTTACTACTTCTTTATGAAAGTGTTCAATATTTGTATATATATTGTCTATCAAAGATGCTGATGTATTTGTCACTCTTGTTGGTTCATTTGTAATTGTAGCTTTTATATTAAAAGTATTTAAAGTTTCAGTTAACATTTTTACATTTTCGTTTTTTAAATTTAGAAGGTTTAAATTTAAGTCACCACAAATCATAATTTTATGTTTATCTACCTTGCATAATAATATAACTTCCTCCAGAATATCAAGAAAAAGGGAAACATCACTATCAGGTGCCCTGTAGATACATAGAATAATCAACCTCAGTTTTGGTATTTCAATACCTGCACATTCAAAACAAAATTCTTTGCTTTTTGCTTGAAGGTCATGGCGGACGAGACACTCCCACTTGTCTGATAAGAATATCCCAGTTCCTCCGTGTATTTTCTCTCTGCGACTAAAACATGAGACAAAATTGTAACCTTTTATATTTATGAAGTTTTCCTCACCTGGCTTTAGCCAAGTTTCTGTGAAACCCAGACAGTCATAAGATTTATTATCTGCTAAATAAATATTTAACTCGTTAATTTTTGGTTTAATACTTTGTATATTTAAGTGTAATAGTGTAAAGTAAGATTCTGTAGGACCTACCATATCTTTCTCCTTTTTTTGTTCGTGAATTTTAAAGTATTCTACCCTGTTGCGTGGTTTGGGTTTTTCTTGGGAAAAAAATACTTTGTTACATAGGCCCCTTGTGGCCATTTGTCTGCGTCCAAAGCTTTTTCAAAATTTGTTTTAAGGAGGTTAGGGTAATACATACAAAAGGCACTATATACCTACATACATAATGTTACACAGGAACGTGAATTAAAAAAAGTAAAAAATAGGATTTAAACGCGACAACATTGCCAGTTTTGATAGTTAGTTCCTATGGTAACGCTTTTCGCTTTTGACAGTTGCAGTGACATTTCTTTATGCAGCGTTATTTAATAGTATATTAAAGAACTAATGTCATAAGACGTCATTTATCTAGTTTGCAAAAATTCTATAAAAAAAATAATTTTAATTTTAATGTCAAAATCGATTCGCCATGCCGTCCTTAATTTACTTATTTACAATAAGCGGCTGTTAATGTTAAAGAAGAAAAAAAGGATTTTCTTTGGTGTTAAACAAATTTTATTCCCAGAAAAGTCTCGTAAGTACTAGGAAAATCATAAAAATATTATAACCAATATGCAAAATATTATGCTGTTTAAAGTACAGCCAACCTATAAAATCAAAATTTTGGGTGGGATAAAGTATCTCATTACAGCACCGAAAGCGGTGTTATAATGAAGTCATTATGAACGCAAATTAGATAAAATCTTAAAATGAGCTGTGAAACCGAATTATTATGTTTTGTGAAACGAATGAAGTCGACTATAAAGAAAAAAATATTAAAAATAGGTATAGGAACCTAAAATAAAGCAACAGAATGCAGCAAAAGTTTCGAGAAGAGCAGAAAACTGTGTTTTAAATTATGTTTAAAAAAAATGGCGTAGAATTTTAATAAGTAAACTTTAATAACACACTACTAGTAAATTGGTATTCTTCTTATACAAGTATTTAGCATGTTGTAAATTTCCAAATATGGTTTTAATACAGTTACTTATACTTTTCCCATTATTAGATTTTAATTAAGCTGAAATTTTTACTCATATATATCCTTTGAAATCTTTAATCGATTATCACCATAAACTGGCGAACAGTTAACATAATATTCATGTTTATCAGGTCATTAATAATTATTTAATAAAATGCCCGTATACATGTATATTATTATAAATAGTTATGTCATTAGGCAAAGAAGTGACACAAATATGTGATTGCGCAGAGCACAAAAACACAATTTTATTTGCTAAACAATACATAAAACGTATTAGCAGAAATCAAAGTGACTAATGAAATTGCCTAATCACCGACTCCTCAGCCAAAATCAATCACTCTAAATATATAGTTGGTATAGTTTAGTAATGTTGAAAAAATTATAGGTTGTCTAGTAGGAGCCTACTTAAAAGATATTTACAAAGTTTTAGAAAAATTGACCGTCTGGTTTCCGAGTAAAAAATATTAGTGTATAAGTAAAAATCATCGTATTGTCATGTTTTAAGATATGCGTTACATCTTCTATACAGTCCATGTCTTTAATTAATACATATCTTCTAACGTGCCATTTAAAAATTAATGCATTTTTTTTCTTTTATGCCTGTAGAAATGCCATACAAATATTTGTTAACTTTCACTGCACAGTTTTGCAATAATAAACGATAATGTTGACTGTGTCCAAAAAATTATCAATTTGTCATTTTCGTCTAGAAGATCCGGCAACACTGGATATCGTACACGTGATTATCTAGGGATATTCGATTTGATTTATTTGGTGACTACCATAATTTCGTATTATTAGTATATTATTAAAAAAACACATTCGTTTCACAACTCATTTTAACATTTTAACACTGCATAAAGAAATGTCACTGCAACTGTTAAAGGCGAAAAAAATATAGAAACCTATTTTTTACGTTTTTTAATTCACGTTTATGTGTTACAATATATGGGGCATTCCACGCCAAATCGGATGGTTTCAAAAAAAATTTTTTGATTCCTCCAATTTTTTTATATTTTTTAGAGAATTTTTTTTTTAATTTTGAAAAATCGAAAAAAATAGTAATTATGGAAGGCCCACTACCGGACCAGGCTGAATAGTTGTTGATTAGATAGAAGTTGAAAATAAAAAAATTACGATTTAAACTTTAAAACTCAAAAATCTTGACTTAAAACGCTTCAAATATTTTCAATTAAAAATATTGATATATTTTTTTTTTCGAAAAGAACTAATGTCATAAGACGTGATTTTGTCGAACTCCGACAATTTATGGACGAGTGCGACAAAAGGTCTTATGACATGAGTTCTTTATGCTATTTTATCTATTTTGCAAAAATTCTATAAAAAAAATAATTTTATACCTTAAATTTAATTTAGTCGAATTTTACTTTAGATAGTTGGTATCACAGTCATTGGTTTGACAGTTAATGTCAAAATCGATTCGCCATGCCGTCCTTAATTTACTTATTTACAATAAGCGGCTGTTAATGTTAAAGAAGAAAAAAAGGATTTTCTTTGGTGTTAAACAAAATTTATTGCCAGAAAAGTCTCGTAAGTACTAGAAAAATCATAAAAATATTATAACCAATATGCAAAATATTATGCTGTTTAAAGTATAGCCAACCTATAAAATCAAAATTTTGGGTGGGATGAAGTATCTCATTACAGCACGGAAAGCGGTGTTATAATGAAGTCATTATGAACGAAAAATAGATAAAATATATAATAATTATAAATTTAGAAAATTGGATGTTTTTAAAGTTGGTATCTATCGCTATTTATGCATAAAATCAACTCAATAAATTTCTCAAAGATATATAAATTTAAATGAATTGTTTTCTAAAAAAATCTTAATTAAATCATAGTTTGCTTTTTGCTAGCCTATTAACCCAATAAATAGGAGTAATTATGTCTTAATTGTTTTCAGCAAAAAGCACCTAGGATACGCTTTCTGGTGACATCCTATGAAAATAAAATATTACCCAACAATGATACCAAATCAGGTCTTTTATTTAAAACTTTATTAATAGCTGTACTACTTCTCACATTTTCGTTTTTAACTTTAATGTTTTGTTAAACTAGTTTTTTTATTTAGTAGGTATTGTGACTAATTAAAATATATCAAAGTGCAAGTGTTTTTTTTTTAGTATTTTTGCTGTTAGTTCGAGAATTTGTATTCATAAGTTTTGCCTTCGTCGACCACCCATATGGAACCACTTTCAGCGTTTTTTAAGGCTACCATGGCCGCCTCTGCACACTGCTTTGGACTAAAAATAAAAAAAAAGTATAGTTTAGTTTTTTGTCATTTTAGATTGTCGTTATATTAGCTATGAAACTGATCTTTTTTCTTATTTTATCACGCATATTTTACAAACCCCCTGTATAATATATACCTCTGCATTTCATATCCTTTCTCCTCCCACTTGTGCTCGAGGGCAAACAGTTTCATCTTCGGAGTGTCTGTGGCGCCGGGGAAAATACCGATGATTCTCAATTTGGTGCAGTCGTTGAATTTGGGGTCGCCCAAGGTTCGAGTCAGGCCCTGTATAGCGAACTTGGTGGCCGAGTACACCGGCAAAAGGCTGTACGGATTTAGCCCTGCCATGGAGCCCACGTTAACTATTAGGGCCGCTTGGTCTTCGGAGGTTCTGTGTTTCGGGAGGTATGATTGGGCTAGAAGGTTGCCATTTATGGTTCCGTTCTAAAAGAAAATTTAAAAAATCTTAAAAAATCCAGCCGTATATTATATATGTATATATTATATACAGGGTGGCCCAAAAGTTTGGAATATTAAGTGTAACTTTTAAAATATCAAAAATGTTAATTTTGTAATACACTCACAGGCAAAATAATCGATCCACATAAATTTTCGATGAATTTCAATCAATAATGGAGAATCGCTCACATTTTAAAAATTACTAAAAAATACACTTACGTTTATAATATACAGGTTTAAACAAAAATATGTTTTTTTACCATAAGTTTAAGACACTCTGTAGAGTGGCAAAACCGTATATTGTTCTAAATTAAGTTTTAATTATCAAGTCACATCTATTTTTAACAGTTTTGTTTTTGGTTCACCTCGATATATTTATTTTTGTGGAAAATATGGATTTTTTTTTAAAAACATTGCATTTCCAATATTTTTTCTATATGAAGAACTAAGGTTGCTATGGTCCATCCATAGCCTACGGAGGATGACAGTGACAGTTTTGTTGAATCATCCCATACTTGGACATGTCATATACAGCTTTCAAAAGCTATCAAATTGTTTTTTGTAAATTAATGTGTTAATTTTGAGGTGTCTTCTTACTTTTAAAAATGTCTCCGACTGATGTTGCCCTTTGTACTTTACTTCTTGTGACGTTTAAAACACTTGCCACGTAATACTGTGACCGTCCATCCTGGATTAAATTAATGGCTCTGGCAACATCAGTCGGAAACATATCCATTTTTTAAAGTGAGAAGACATCTCAAAATTTAAACATTAATTTGCAAAAAACAATTTGATAGCTTTTGAAAGCCGTGTATGACATGTCCAACCATAGCAACCTTAGTTCTTCATACAGAAAAATATTGGAAATTGCAATGTTTTTTTAAAAAATCCATATTTTCCACAAAAATAAATATATCGAGGTGAACCAAAAACAAAACTGTTAAGAATAGATGTGACTTGATAAATAAAACTTAATTTAGAACAATATACGGTTTTGCCACTCTACAGAGTGTCTTAAGCTTATGGTAAAAAACATATTTTTGTTTAAACCTGTATATTATAAACGTACGTATATTTTTTAGTAATTTTTTTAAAATGTGAGCGATTGTCCATTAATTTATCTACAATAGTCTTTAATATTCGTTTAAATCCGACATCAAATAAAAAAGTTATTTTCGATTGAAATTCATCGAAAATTTGTGTGGATCGATTATTTTGCCTGTGAGGGTATTTCCGAAACAGTTAAAGATAGGTATAGGACATTGTACATAAAATATGTCTACAATTTTCTAAAGAATACAAAAATAAGAAAGTTGGTATTGGCCACTGCTAGCCTGTTCTAAAAGTTTTTGCAGAAAAAAAATTATGGGTTATGGCATTTATTCCATTTGGCCACAAACAATAATCACTTAATTCTTACCACATTTACTGCTACAATTCTTTCCCAAGGTGGATCAAAAACTGCAGCATTATTTATGAGAATATCTATATTTTTAAAGGCTTGCACGGTCTTCTTAAAGGCATCTAAAACATTAATATTTAAATTGTAAAATTAAATTAATAATGTACAGGAAATTTTCACGCTTACTCTCAAACTCTTCCTTATTGGATACATCAGTTTTAACAAAAATTGCTCTATTTTCTCCAAATTCTTTTTTTACTTCCAATAACGCATTATCTCCCAAAGCCTCGTTTACATCAGCAATGGTAACAGCCTATAAAAATCCATGATTTTAGAAATATATATAATTTTTGGTGATACAAAATTAAAAAAATATTTATATTTTATGAAGTAAATTGTAAATAAATGAAAGAAAATTGAGTAGTACTTACTTTTGCACCATTTTTTAACAACTCCCTACAATACTCAAAGCCAATTCCTGAAGCTCCTCCAGTGACCAAAGCAACCTTATTTTTTATTTCAAAAACCATATTGTCAAATTTTCAAAATCCAACTATATTGTTTACCTTTAAATGTTATTTTTATATTGAATTCACATGTATTAGCATATCATAATTATAACCCATAAAAGTGTTTTTATTGTTATCTTATCCATTTCGCATGGCATTTGTAAATTAACACCAGGGACGTAGCGAGGGGGTCGAACCCAACTTTTCGTTAGTCGGCTACTAATTCCGGCTAATGCAGCTAATACCGACTAAAACTATCTATAGTACTAATCAATCAACCCTTGAGGCGAGAAAATTGGAGCTAGGGATTAATCTAATTGGTGGTTTTATATTGCATGATTGAAGATGTGGTGGATGGCAGTTTGTGTTACAGTGTGTGTAGAGCGTACGCCACTGAATTTATTTGTCTGGAATTTTTATTTTGAAAATGTTGCAATAAATCTTATTGGTAATTATGTAGGTTACATACCTACAGTAGGTATTTCTTTACATTTTAAGCTTCAAAAGTTGAAGAAATCTACGAAAGGGACTCCCTGATTAACACGAATATAATTTAAAATTTGTATTTTTTTTAAGACTCTATCTCACACTGGCAATTATTTTGCTTTTTTGCAAATTGTTAACATCTTTAAAATTACTGTTTCCTTTGTTGAAAAAGTTTTTCTTTTTAATTTAGTTATTTTTTTAATTGAATTTGTTATTTTGGGTTTTTTAAATAATATATTTTTTTATTAGGCAAAAAATACAATTTTTTTATGTCATAGATACTAGTTCATTATTGTGTTTTTATTGCTTAGTTGCCAACTAAATAAAAGTGTACTTTATGGACCGCGACCCAAAAAACAGTTTTTTAAAGTACATATTAACATTATTTAGTCGATAGCAATGTCTACTATGATAAAATGGAAATGTTGTTATTGAATTTTTGAATTTTTTTATGATATATTATGTTATATTTAATTATATTATAACTAACTTAAAAAAAAATTATTAAATACCAAAAAAATTAGGTTTTATTTTTGTATTATCCAGGACCTTTTAACTTTCAATTTCGATATGTAGCTTAAGGTAAAAATTCTGTCATGGTTTCAATCGATCGGGCAACGAAAGAGCTAGACAACTTGAATAAAAAAATGTTAATTTGACATAATTGCGTTAATTTGGTTGATGCTATCTATCGATCTTCAAATCACACTGCATTCAAGCCTTGTAAACTAACGGTACTAAGTTGAAGATTTATGGTGTGAGATTTCGAAATATTTAATTATACATATTCCCGCTTAAACAGATCCATTGTAGCCGAATATAATGTAGCTTATGGGGCATCTCATGTGAAGCGTACAACGAAAAAAAAAATAAGATTCTGAAACTTCTTCACATAATTGTTGAAGGTGTGAATGTAAACCCACCATTTTTTTTGTATGTGGATTAGTTGTCAATTTATGGGCTCCTAAAGATTGTGGTAATAGGTATAAAATACGAATTTTTTGGAAATTTTTTAAATTAAATTAAATTAAAAATTCACAATAAAATATAAAACAGTGTTTTGTATCGAATATAAACAGTTCTTTTTGTTTATGACATCAAATTCGAAATTTGATTTTTTTCTTGTTGAAAACATTTTAAATCAAAATTTTAATAACATGGACTTCTTAAAGTATATATATATGATGCACTTAAATTTTTAAAATGGGATCTCCTCTTTTGACCAATAGTCGCACACAATATTTTTTTCAACTACCACAAGGAATTTAAATCGAATTTTATTTGATATTTTATCTGACATTTGACAGCTGTCAATCAGTTTTAACCTAACTTTTTTTCAATTTTAACTTAAAGCTAACTTCAGTACGTTGGCGAAGTAAAATTTTGCCCACCGGTTAAAGTTAAGAAATGAAAATGGAAGTTAAATAAAAATTTTTATCGTCTTTAAAATCCGCACTGTTTAGAAGAAAAAAATTTGCGAGGTGGAATAACAACCCATTGTTTATATTTTTTGTGTTAATTTTTTGGATAAACTTTCAATTAATATACAGGGTATCCTGAAAATAAATCGACATACGATGATTTTGGAAGATGGATTTTCGACATTGTTTTGATAAATTTTGGTCAAATTGATCTATAATCATCCCTAAAATTTTAGCTACATCGCACCTTAAAATCTATAGATAATAATAATAATAATAATAATCTATATATAATCCCCTTATACCAGTACTTAAAAACCTGACTCTTATAAGAGTTATAACTCTTTTCGCAGAAAAATTAAAATATATTTGCATACTTACAAAGCAGCCTTTCTAAAAAAATAATATATTTTTTGTTTTTTTTATAAAGAATTATTATTTAAATTGTTAAAGAATATTATTGAAATTGTTTTATTTTTTATTTTTGATTGTTGGCGCACTACTTTTAATTTAATTTTTGTACTGACACTTGTGTAAAACATCGGAATTTTTGTAATTTTTGTTTATGGTTAAGTGGAAGAACAATGATGTTAGTGGATACTTATATCAAATAAAGTCGTTTTTATTATTATTATATATGTTTTAAAACAACAATAATTATTAAAGTTATAAAGTACACTTTTTGGTTAACTGTGTTGTCAGCCTTTTCTTTCAAACTTCCTTTATGCTGTGATGATATGCAGTTTAGAAATAAAAGAAATTAAATGTAATTAATACTTAATAATATCCATTTTCAATATAGTTTTTAGTTCAATTTTGCAATGTTTTTACTGTTTTCTGCTTGATTAAAATCAGTTCTAAGAATACCAAATAGTATAGCATAATTGTTTTACATTTTATGCAGTTAAAAAATGCCACCAGGTACAATATTGGCTTCCAATTCCTGAATATTACAGTAGTTCAAAATTAAAATATTGTGAACAAAAATCTGACATTAATTTAAAATAAAAAAATTATGAAAGAAAACGCATAGTAGTATAAAAGTGGTGTAAAAAATTTCAAAAATGATTATAATTTCCATTTTTTTTTTAATTTACAAAATTGAAAAATGGTAGGACAAATTCGCACAGTAGTTTAAAATTAAAAAATGTGGGACATATATATATTCGAACAACATTTTTAAAATTTCCTAAATTTCTAAAAATATCAAAATTATGTTTCATATTATGCTGTTTAATCCACTTTTTTATACCTGGTTTTTAAGTTCTTAAATAGTAGGTACTTATTTTTACAACTTTTAAGTACCTTTTGTTCTCTTAAAAATCTTGTAATTCTCACTCAAATTTTTTAATGACAACTATTTCCCAAAGATAAACCAAACCCAACATTTTAGGAGGCGTACCGTTATATCAAGAAAAAATCTCGGGAAGCAAATATTGGTTTAATCATTTGTTTAAGTGTTTTACACACGATTTTTTTAATTATGTAAATACGTTTTAGTTTGGGTGCACGAGCTCTGTAATTGTTTAATTACTTAAGTTTAATGACTCGTCCATTCAAATATACTCGTAACTCATTAAAGATGATAATTGAGAATAATTTTGGTTGCGATTAATCTCGCCACTGTTCGTGGAATGTTTGCGTTTAAATGCTGCCTTCCATGGATACTTTTTATGACCCAACGCAATATTTGATGGTACCTATTAGATCTAACGGTGAAATTCCTTAAAAGTGATTATTTTTTATTATCCGTAGTGATTACTTTTTATTATCCTAAAATCACACGAATTTTTTTTTCATCAAGTATTTGTTCATAAAACATTCCTTTCGTTCGTGGTTATTTATGATGGGAGAGTAAATTCTTTGTTCAAACAGGTACAACGTGTAATTTGTATATTTAGTTGTTTAACATATGGTTCTTTAACTTTTTACGACGATTCCATCACGAATCTAACTGTTTTGGTCGATTTTTAATGAAATTGTAGGATTTAACAATCTACTTAGTCTGTGAATTTTCTTTTTTGTCAAGGCTATCACTTTTTTGGCATGTTGGCATCTTTCTATATACAGGGTGACAATTTTAAAACCTAGTGATTTCGAAACTATGGTATGGTAAAAATTTCCCATTACTTTTCACACGTCCGCTAAAATGTGGCTTCGCAGGCAATTTGTCACCAATCAAAATAATGATATAGAAACCTGAGGGCACAAATCTAAAATGATTCTCATGATTTATTATTAATTTGTTCCCGTAAACATAAAATTACTCTCACACAACTCAAATTGCACTGCTCGTCTAATGGAGGTAAAAATGCTCGAATTAAAAAAAAATACCTACGCGAAGAGGTAATTATGTTTTCTTCAGCGTGTAGTATTTGCTTTTGTTGATACAGTCATTAGGAAAAACGCACATCGGCCGTGTGTTAGCCGGTGGCCTGTTAATCATGCCTCGAAGAAAATTATTTTGCTTTTATTTTTGTTGTTGTTACGCTAATGACTTAATTTTCCCCACTGTGCGACAGTTTGCCAGGTTATTTAATTAAATGAAGAACATGGTAGTGGCGTACAGGCATACACAGTAATATTTATTAATTTTAACCAAATACACTCACAGGCAAAATAATCGATCCACACAAATTTTCGATGAATTTCAATCGCAAAAAACTTTTTTATTTGATGTCGGATTTAAACTAATATTAAAGAATATTGTAGATAAATTAATGGACAATCGCTAACATTTTAAAAAAATACTAAAAAATAGACGTACGTTTATAATATACAGGTTTAAACAAAAAAAAGTTTTTTACCATAAGTTTAAGACACTCTGTAGAGTGGCAAAACCGTATATTGTTCTAAATTAAGTTTTATTTATCAAGTCACATCTATTCTTAACAGTTTTGTTTTTGGTTCACCTCGATATATTTATTTTTGTGGAAAATATGGATTTTTTTAAAAAACATTGCAATTTCCAAAAATTTTCTGTATGAAGAACTAAGGTTGCTATGATCCATCCATAGGCTATGGAGAATTACAGTGACAGTTTTGTTGAATCATCCCATACTTGGACATGTCATACACGGCTTTCAAAAGCTATCAAATTGTTTTTTGCAAATTAATGTTTAAATTTTGACTCAAAAATTTTTTA